GATAACTCTGTTTTCGGTGGAACGCACTCATTTACTATTTAAAATGTTGAAAACAACAAATAAGCCTTATCACAAGATCACCGTTCCTTTATATATACGCCAAAATGTTAATGCAGCGCGAATTTACGTGCAATGTCTGACGATCAGTCATATTTAGTTGAGGCAGAGCTCACAGAGTTATTTCGCTGCTCTTATAAAAACTTGCCTAATTGGTTGTCCTTTTATCTTGATAAAAACTTGGAGAATTCGCCATACAATTTACAATTCAACAATCTGAGTGAATACGCAAGAGGCTAATGATTACCCTAAAGGGATATTTTTTCCCAAACGATCATTATATAATTGCTAAATTGGTGGTTTGTCGAGCCCGCATAATCACTGGGCACAGACCATGAGCTGAGGCCATATTTACGGACGTTGATGGTGATAGAAACTGGTTCACCACTCGGGGACATCATCGGAAGTGGTGGTAACACCCTGTATTTCCAAAGCAGTTACAGTCTTGCTCATAGTGGTGTTTTACCTAGAATATCTTGTCATCAAGTAAATCTCCTGGAATGACTATCCTGTACGCTTGGCACAAAAAAACAACATGAGCGTGTTTATACCTGAGTATTAGATTAAACTAGAAATTCAATAAACATGAGACATTCAGCAGGCTGCGAACATAGTATTTGAAAGCAGGACAACTGGTAAATTTAGTAATCAAGCGTATTTACCGATTATTCTTAAATGAAAAAGCAGTTGTTTTGAATTTACAAATGCGTGGCTAAAATAATTTTGCCTAGTAATGCAATGATGACGGTGTTATTTGGGTTCCGCTCTCCGTCACAACAAGATCGTTGAAGATATAATGTACTTATCTGAGGATAATGGTAACTTCAAAAAACCGGAGCCCGTCGTGTAATTCGCTAACGTACCATCTCTGCCCCTTCTCAAAACTCCGGTGCTCTCTGAACGGATGGGTAAAACGACAACAGCGAAAAATACAGTCGAAATTAAATTAGGCAGATTCAGGTTCGATTACAGTATCCAGTTTGAAAATAATCGATTGATCTTTGCAACTTACGAAACTCGATCTCACCTCATGGGCAAACCACGCTGACAACACTTCCAGCTGGATAATCAATTGTGCTCTTGCATTAACATTATTTACCAGGCATGACTGCCAAAGCGTTTGTTACTTGGGGAATGGCTATTTTCTAAGGCGTAGTTTCATGCCAAAAATTGTAATTTCTTAATCACAATGAAACGTTTCACGGATAATCGTAGATCGTTTCCCGGTTATTGATTATTAACTGCGGCAACCACGTGTTGAAATTCCCATAACAGCACATACAGCAAACATTTTTAAATGGATTAATTCTTGCAATTAATTCAGTTTTTCACACAAGGTAGAGATCCGATCATCACCGGTAAAATGTTTGCTGTTGAAATCCGAATAAACCGAAACTCTGAATAACCGAATGTACAAAATTAAACAGGCAGTTCCGTACTGGCAATATGCATGTTTTAGCGATGAAAGGATGTAGTTTCGTGCACAAAGCTGAGCAGATTTGGTTTCACGACGCCGATTCACAACGCCGACTACCTATTTTGTGATGTCAGCAGGCTCTTTAGTTTGAAAAAAACGGAATCTATTCAGCTATATCTAACTCTGGAACGGACTAAATTTGTTTAATGCAACGAGTGGGTTTATACATAAGTTACATGCCAAATAGACCAGTTCGGTCCAACCGTATTCGTCTTGCGGTTCCTGGTATCGTCAGATAAGTGTATATTTCCGTTTTAGATAAATCAAACGAATGCTGCTTAAATTTGGGGTAAACCGATTATGAGTGTGGCCAACCATGGCAACATAAGAACCAATCAAATCGGGTGTGATGCATAACTTACAGCGTTCAAACTGTACTGAACTATAAATTACGCAGTGGTTATTGGTCTGCTTGCCGAACTTAGCAGCTAGATTGCAAACGTTTCATTACCACCCAAGGTGACAACGTCACCCGACCTACTTATATTCCACAACATTGCCAAATTAGGCAGTATTAGCGAAATTGTGATCACCAAATAGATTCGGGAACTGAAGGTTTATGAACACTAATTTTGAGATCATTTAGTTTCAAACTTCCCAAGTATGCTCGGTAGCTTAGGTCGTGACGGCTGGGTCGCACGAGATATGGTACTGAAATCTTTCTCTTTAGCCTGTCTAATTTTAGCCATTTATTCCGTATATGGAACAAGAATCACATAGTGTTTCTACAGGCAGTGGCTTCAGCCACGAGCGGACTTATTTTCGTGCGCATATCAATGACTGCTGGGAGACGTACGTTTGCAGATCAAGCTGCAGATGTCCTTCGACTGTCAACAGTACCTTGCTTTCTTGTACAGATATGTAAATTATCTATCAATGCTTCAAAAAAGACTATCGATATAGGAAGTCATCTCATGTACGGTGGTTGAATTGTCAGGGCAGTTCGAACAAAATGATTACGAAATAGCCTGCTCCCAAATCCGGACTCTCAAAGGCAAATTATATTATACTTACAGTCAGACTTTCAGTAGTCATTGTGTTGACAGAAACTACCCCTGCTCTCCAGTTTGCGGACATTAGTCTTTCAGCTGTCAGAAATCTTCTGCTTTCAGAGGCCTTTGAGGTTCTAAAGCGCATAGTTTGCCTATCAGCTGAGGCGTGGCACAGCTGTCCTGGGGTGAAATGAAAAATCAGATGCACAGGAGGAAACTGTCGAGGAAGAATCAGCATTCACCCATTAAGCCTAGACAGAAAACATTTTCGGACGTCTGCTGTCCAGTAGTGTTAAAAATGATTAGAATAATACGGATACCAGATAACCTGTATTATCCGCTTGACGGCCGACCGCAACGAAATATAACTTCCAATTTAACAGGGTAGCCAATTTGCGTATCCAGATTTATCGAATATCTTGGCACCACCAGCATCTGTTTTTAGACTTTTTTTCAGCACATCCTATCTACCGAAAATTATATCGCATATTATTCGCACAATTGCCTGGCATTTATTTTCGAGCAACATCCCCAACAACACGCCCCAAGGCACAACGGAAGTAGAATATTGTGCAGAACTGTCTGATATTTTCGGAAAAGTATTGCCAAAGTCTATCCACTCAGTAGCCGAAACGCCATTTTAAAACCCAGTTGTATATTTGTTGTGGATCAGAAAATCACAAACCAACCATCTAGAGCTACCTTACCTATTTGTGGTCATAAAAAATCAATATAAGGGACAGTCTTACAGACTAGCTATGCTTTTTCAAACTAAGACATTACATTTGGTTACAAATGCATCCCAGAAACAACAGAAATTTTTCTGGCAAAAACCCAGCAGTGCTGAAATTTCCAAATATGAATCCAAAGATGTCAACTTCTACAACTTCATTACCCCAAGGGGTTTGGGCTTTCAACCCACGTTATTAGGGCCGAAAAGCAAGCGTATTTTTAGGCCTTCAGTTATGTGTAGCGCAGCAAATTTGAACAGACAAGCGATCAAACAGCGCCCACCACCTACACCTCTTGCCAATATTGCACATTTCGCCGATATGAAGTTAAACTTCCATGGACAAATATACATGGAACGTTTACCTAAAATCTCCTTCGTTCTGCTATAATACCGTTAAACTCTTTGGCGTCCGTAAACTCTGATGTTATTATTTAAAAGCAGAAATATATCAACTTTCGACGGCGGCAAGAAACTCCAGTTAAATAGCATCACTTGCATGTTGCCGCAACTATCTAGCGAAACCACACACTCGAGTGGCAAAATTACTAAGCTGTAGGTCTTGATCTGGTCAGCTGATGACAATAATTATTCACACCTACAGTAGTATATTATTCGTTTTGGAAATACGTTTGTTTACTATTTGGCACATTTCATCAAAGGTAGAGACAGTCTGATATCTACGAGGGTATCCGAGAGCACCTAAGGAATGTGGCAGTGAACAGTTTGAAACAACATCTAGCGCAATCATCGTTACTTGGCACGTTGCAACAGATGCAAAGAACCGAGACAGTTGTTCAGAGTGATAAAGTGTGAAAACAACAGTCCCGTACTACGCGTTGTTGGACCAGTGGTAACTGAGTTCCACCAATAAATGGATTTTCTTACAGACCTTGTGCGGATAAGAGTGGCTTTCAATTGCTAGTTAAATTACTGAAATGATCAGTTAAGCAAATATTCATCGTGTGTCTACCCTTGTTTCTGATGTGTGAATTCCTTACTAATTAGAACGGTGGATGTGTATAGTGAGAGTCGCACACAGGGCGACGTTTGCTTTTGGTCTTACTGCTAAAATGGCTGTAAGATTACCGCGACTATTTGGTTCTCCGAGCATGGTATTTGGGTTGCCAGCATCCCGTTCTCGATTGAGGAGATATCGTCAGTGCGGGAATGAATTGGACCCACCCCTTTGTTTTCACCCCTACCGATAACATGATACTTATTTGGCTCTGTCTGAAATTTTGAGTGGCACAACCCTCGTGTTGCAGACGCACACAGAGAATCACCCTTGAACTAGGTACACAGAATGCCTGTTTCATCTTCACTTGTGAGCAGAGTTGCTACTTCCGATGCACCATTTACTTAGCAATAATTCTCGATATATTCGGAAGAAAATTATCACCCATCGCCTAAGACCCACTGGTTACATCTTCCAAGCGCCGTTTACTCAAGGCCATAACTAGGCAGGTGATGACCGTGGCTTTCAAAATTTGACGCTAACGAACCGTCCAGTGTAATATCATATCGACATCACTACTGAATGAATCTGAGAAGTTGTGCGTGAAGTTGTATGCACATTTAGATCATGAGACCTTGTTTTGGTCCACCTAACTATCCCCCAAAAATGAACCGATCAGACAGCATTTCTTATTGTCCGCCAACAATCGAAACTATGACGACGTCTAGTCCATTCAAAATTTGGCATCGGATGTGTAGTTCGTATTTCAAATAATTTATTATTAAGATGTTTCGCTTGAAAGGCAGCCAAATTGCTCTCAGAAAAGGGCAGCTTTCGGCTGTTTCCTGCGCAATGTGCTCGATTGAACAAATAGTTACAATAGGTAAGTGTTGTAAGAATCAAAAACCCAAGGAAGAAATTTGCCCCTCCAATTTTTGGACAAAACCCAAACACAATCTTTGAATTTCTAAGACCCATGTTGAGAGAGAGCAGACGAAAGCAACGGTGAGTCACTGTCTGATAAATTTGTTTTGGGACTCATCGGATGTCTAGAATATTGGTCAAGTCTGACCGAAACATTGGCACTGTGAAAGTAACATCCGTAATTTTTCAGACCATTCGATAGTCCTAACGCTAGTTAATTTCAAGTGGACATTGTGTACTCCATTCAATTTTTGCAGAGTATGAGTATTTTGCAACTTCTTATTGATAAGAGCCGATCATTCAGGAAATGGATCTAAGTAGTGACGGACCGCTCTGTACACGAGACTGAGTAGGGCTAATATTTGTGGTGGGAGCTTTCGTCAAAATTAATTACTTCCTAATACCGATCAACTATTTGCCGTGAGCGAGTAACCCACAAAATTGCAGCCACCGCAAAATGTCTTCAAATGACTTTGTAACCATATCCTTGGGACATAGAGAGAACGCTAATAGTTTAGATTATGTAGCTGATGGTGGATACATAACGAGCCTTGAAAAAAATCATTCCCATAATCGAGTGAGCCAATCCCTGATGTGTCATCAGATTTTATGCATTCACGCATTGGGCAGCAAAACTGAAAGTTCAATTCAAAGATCAGCGAAAATGGAACGAATGTGTTGGGTGTGGAAAGTTACAGAAAAACACAAATGGCCTTCCTAACTACTTAAGGCGGCATTTTTCATACATATATACAAAATAGCGCTAATCGTCACTGAGCCCAAAATTTTCAGATTGGTTTCGTTTAAACTATTCTCGTTCTATATCCAGAGAGTGTAAGTATTACAGCGCTATTATAGTACGACTGTGAACAGCACAAAAATGCGCAACGCTTTTACCAGTTTGATTTTTTGAATGTTCATTAGTTTTCGGGATCAAACAGTCAGAAATTAACTAAAGGGAATAAACGACCAGACGGTTAGGAGTTTAGCAGTAGTTGGGATGTCACGGGCTGAAAATCACCTCAGTTTCTGCCGATGAAGACCAATCAGGAAAACACACCCCTGCAGTACTTCTCGGCTTTGAAGTATAGATCGACTTCACTGGTATGGTGCAATCTTTCCACAGAATCATTTTACATCACCATCACGGTATAAGTAGATCGGATAGAGAGTAACTTTACAAGATTAGTGGAACATCCTTCTGAAATGTACTCACTCGAAAACAGCCAAATTCTGATCACGTGATATGGTTTTCGTAACTGGGTCCTGACTAATTAATAGCTAATCACGCTGCGGATCACCCGCTTGTGGGCAAACGATTGTGTTCAGTCACCCACCAGAAAACAGCAGGATCAAAATTCCCTAAATTTCGTGAGATTCGCACTGCTGATATCTCTCAACAAAGATCGAAGTGCTGTAAAGTGCTTGTCCGTATTTCATCGTAGAACGGCTCCATTGATGTAATGGAATCTCTATTGGAGATGGAACAAATTTAGAGCTGCGGTTGTTTATTTGGCCCCGGAGTCGCGAGGACTTGAAGACTGCCGTGATGCTGAATTTTTTTAAGAGTTCTGGGTATTATTAGAATGTAACTAACCTGATTCGTTGCAAGACGAGATAAAACCGGTCAGATGATGAAAACTAGCCACGATAGGCAGGAATGGTATTCGGTTTCTAGTCGAACGTAATTTCATGCAGAGTGCTACCCGTGGGAATGTGCGACTGTAGGACAGGATTCCCTCAAAGCATATCGTCAAAAAGGGACTCACCTGCAGCTGTACCCTGAAATTCAAAATTGTTTTTCGCCACAAGAGCAAATGATCAGGATGTAAGACTCTAGCCATATGATTAACCTATTTTGAGTTAAGAGTGTTTGGTCCAATAACGAGTTTAATTTCATCTAACATCAATATTTCCAAGCAGTACGTTGTGTTAAATGCTTCTACAGCCTTTAGGGTTTTAGGATTTTGTCTCGGGCTAACCAAGCAAACCAAATCAACACTGCATACACCATCACAATAGGTCCGACCTCTCAACGAAATTTTTATTAGTCAGTTGTCATACACATTTCCATTTCTGGGTTGCTAGACGATCCAGATTCTCCCTTTGGCCAATGAATCTGATAACTTTCTTGAGGTAAATATCTTGGCCAAACATCTCAAATGTCATGAACATTTCTTGTGGCGCCTTTGCGAAGTTATCGTGTATCCTACTGGTTTACAATAGAACTCGATTCATTTGCTATTGCCTTGGATGTTTAATGGAGAGTGCTGTAACTGATTTCTGTCCTCACTAAAAACCTTAGCATCGGAAAAAGATTCACCAACAAGAAACGCAGCACCGGTGTTGTGAACAATCGAGTACAAGACTTACAAGGGTCTTGGTCGTAAGTGAAGCACGTTTTGGCCTTGAATCCAGGCTGTTCGTCGGTGTTGGGAGAACACTCATCATCATCGTCCATTGCTGAACCAATTGACTGCTTGAGTCCCCAATCGACAGACAAAATCTATAGCCCACATGCTTGCCTGCTCCCCAAATGCAATTTTGCAGAGTTTTGAGGTTTCGATATGCTTCGAAATTATCTTAAGGAATTTGAATTTTGTGACATTTTTGGTGCAGGTGTTTCCAAGTCATCATTAATTTTACTAGTTACGATGAAATTTGATTCATCTGTTGATGCCTTGGTTATTTACTCAATAGTTGAAATTCAACATATTTTAAGACATATTCCGCGGTGGGACGCAGTAACCATAGTAAGTGCTAGTTTGAAATATAGCTTGATTGTACAGGCGGGAATAAAATGTGGCAAATTGCAGTCGTGAGGAACACTGTCACTAGTGGGGAAAATACACTATTAGACTACCTGCTTTAGAGGAATGTGATGACTTATGACACAAGTAATTTTCCAAATAGTTCGATCACATGACTGATTACAGTGCTTGACCTTACTATGAATTTGTACTACATTATGACACAAAGATTACAGAGGTAAATAACCTTTCTTCTCGACCACGAGGAAGTAAGCGTCAAATTGCATATAGGTTGCATTTTCGTTCAGTGCACACTTTCCACTCTAGCTTAAACTGTACTTTGAAACCATTCTAGGTAGCTTTCTCGTTGACGATATCAGTGTTCATTTTGTCACAACTGTGATGCGCAACAAAGCGCATTACCTTCCTGTTTGGCTTGAAAATATCAACGAAAAACACTAAACGCATTTATCATAAATGCTGGTGAATAGTGGTCTACACCGGATTAGCCTCCATCATTCTTCTTCAATTCCCGTCCGACAATAGTATTCAGACAAGGAGCCAGAATGCAGTCCCACTTATTTTGGAAGGTAGTATTTTTTTTCACGTCACCCTTACCTTGAGGGTCTAGCAACGCAGTCAGTTCGAAGCTCCCTCAATATCTTTAAACATTACCACAGTGAGACTATTAAAATCCAGTTTAGGAAAACCCGAATTAGTAGCAAAGTAAGTGCAACAGTTGGAATAGTGTTGAAATGTATCTTCATAGCAGAAACACGAAACCATAGAGACAAACTTAAACGATGAAAGGCTTAAGTGGGAAACGTCTTCACACTTGTGTGTGAGGTTTCAGTATTGCTGAGTGAAACATATTGAGAACCGTGAAACGTGTGGCTGTTTTAAATCCTGCAGTTGCTCGGAGGATGAGTAACGTTTCAGTTCAAATCAACTTGGCAGCTGCTTTTCATGCTGTCGTGCCATCCACCAGCAGCCTTAGTTTAATCCCTCTGAAATCTTCTCCCCAAGAATTGGAGGAAAAATGGCTGAAAATTTTGTTTTTCTTTGAAACTTACGGAAAGGTTATTAGTTTATAAAAGCCTGTGCAACAAAATCCCTTTGGATTTTCCTAAGAGTATCTAAAAGGACTATTCCTTAAATGTCAGTTTGACCCAATAAATACAAGTAAACCGACTAAACTCATTTCAGTGTCTCGTCCGCACATATTTCCAGTATTTTATGAGCAGTATTCCTCCCAGTGAGTTATTGTTTTTTTTCGTCCGCTAAACTTGACAGCATTCACGGAAATTACCCAAAGTTTAGCTCTCGTTAAAATAGCCCAGTAAGCCAATTTACCATAGAGCCAAGTGACTTGGATGACACATCGGTTGCTAATTCAAGCAAAAACAGTTTGATTGAGGATGTAAATAGTTTTGTTCGGATTGAGGTTAACATATTAGAGCCCAGTAACTGGCTACGTCTGTATTGCTACCTGACTCTCAGTTCTTGATTGTTCATATTCTAACCACGAGTATCAGAAGACGCAAAAGGCAAGAACGCGTGAAATGTAGAAGGCCTTTGCTGCGGAGTTATTTATTGGAAAATGCCACCTAACCAGTTACAGACTATTGGACCGGGAAGCAAAACTTCCATTTACATCTTATTTACAAAAACTGGACACTCTTTTTCTCCTGAACGCGTCTTCTTGAACTTTCCATGATATTTATTGAACCCAATCATTCATTGCTCAAATCCAAGTAAATGCTACATAGCGACTCCACGAATTCCGCAACAGGTCTCCATTCCCAAGACACGCGAAGCGAATTTACAAGAACCAAACATACTACTCGCATGACTCCCCATCAGTAGTATCACCTTTACACGTGTAGAATCCACCAAATTTAATAGAGGTCTGAGTAAAAATTTGACACTGTTTCTCACTAGCCATTTAGCTCGACGTTACTCGTGACCATGATGGTATCTTGTCCCAGTTTCCCCCTCTTCCGTTCACATTTTTTTCGCGCAGTCGAATGAAGCTCGTATTTTCAAATAATAAAATTGAACGTTAATTTTCAGTGAAGCGGTGAAAAATGAGGTGGAACTGATCAGTGTGACTTGAGTGAAATATTTCATGGATTTGTTCATTGTTTTATTCGGTTGTTTTTATTTCATTGGTTCATTGATTTATTTGTTTATAATCCTGAACCCAGTTTTCAATTATTTCCTGACAATTCCTTTGCGATTCACAGAAGATTCGATTCACTTTAATTGTTTGTTGCTTCATTCGAATAAACCTAAACAAATCGGAACTGCTTCACTCATTTCATTTTATTTGATTCTACTCCACACAATATCAGCCTTTTTGAATGCGTGGCTGCGCAATGCAGGTGGAAACTCAAATGGTTGCCTGTTATAACTGACTAGGTGTAATCGATTTCGTTCATTTTATAATACTCTTTTCACCCAGTTACCATTTGTGAAATCTTTCAATGGACAAACCATGGATAAATTGAATGGAAGCCCTTAATGATATTTCATCATAAACCATACTTACCCGACAGCGAAGATAGTGCACGACACAACGTATTTCCACTTACATGATGAGCCGTTAGTTTGTTTTGTTCCTATGTCAATAAGCAATGTTAACAAGCAATACAGCTTTTTGTCCTTAAATGCCTTGTGTTACAAACGTCGCATAAAGACTGATGTGTATCGTAAAATGTGTTTATCATTCAAACTACTTGCCAGTTTCCATTTGCCTTGAGGACTGTCTATGGTTAGCCATAAAATCTTTGTTCACGGAAAAAAACTTGAGCCCACCACGGAGTCGCATTCGTGGGGCGTATTGATTATCCGGTTAGTGAGATCGGCAGCAGAGTGCCATTAAATATCCTTCTATTTAGAAAAACTCTTGGTCAGCCTAGCTGACGTTTTCCATTATTGCGTAGTTTAAGACTTGGCCAGCCGAAGCACAACAGGCATGTGCACACAATCAATGCTCAGTTTGCATAATTCACATTGTTTAGTTAAGACTATTCGTCTAACACATGCGTGCTATTTACAAACGCTTCATCGTAGCTGAGATCCCTGTCCGGAAACAAACTTGCGTAGGCTTTGTACAGTTATAACCGGTCAATCTGAAGCGCTCCGTCCACTGACAGACTAGTGGACAATCATCTTCAAAATACAACCATTACATGAATTATCCCGTCTTCTATGCAACATCAGTAACTCAAGAAGACGGTGAGACAAATAATCGCAAGAATATTGACTTCTGGAGATGAATGCCGTGTTTTGCTAGTGTTTCGATTGACAGCCATCATAAATGTGATTGATAGGAATGCTACATGTCAGCGTGAATGCCTTATCCATGAATCTCCATTTTCGCGTTTTTGGCAGTGTGTTTCCTGTATTTTTCGAAAACATTAAAGAAGTATGATCATCCTATGCTTTTCTTAGTTGTTTCGTTTACTTTTGGCGAGCAGAGTAAAATGCCATCATACGGGAGGTTTTATATCTTTTTCTGTTACTGGATAACTAATCTTCCATGAAACATCAGTGGCTGGATTTACTCCTACTGTAATATCAATGTTAGAAACACCAAAATAGGGGCTACTTGCAAACTTTTTTTCGCCAGTACCTCCTCACTTATCTTCTGTGGCACCTCTGATCCATCCCTCGAAATATTAACAAGGATACCGTTTCGTAAGGTTCTCTATTGCCTTTTTAACAATAACTCACCGTCTATAATACTTCCTAAAAATTGATCTTCACCATAACCCTGACATCTTTTTACATCGCCTTATTTTAACTGCAAAACAACAAACTTTTCCATCACATCGTTGACTGATATTTCAATGAAGAGTCAGAAGTTTCGCGGTGATAACTAAGTATCTCTTACCCATCATGCGCAAGTGGCAATAGTGTATTATACGCAAACATTAGGACGTATAAATGATGGATGATCACATTTTTGAAAAATATGCATGCAAAAAAACAGTCTCCCAAGGTCATTGGATGTATTCATAGGGATCGCCGCTATTAGAGGGTAACTAAGACATATCGCGGGTAACCCTTCTCCCTTCGGGTTATTCAGACTACCTAAGTCTCAAGCGATAACCCGGGTTCAGATATACGGTGCAAACCCTAAGACCGTGGCTTGTTGTTGTCCTCCTTCATCAACATATTACTTCCGCTCCTTGTCCCAGATATTCTGGTTTGTTTTCAGTTAACGCGTGTGAGGCTACCTGACTTGTCCCAAGTCTTCATTGCTGAGTGCTTGCTATACTGACATTTGGAGAATACGTCATACGTAATTAGTATGTTTCATGACTGTAGACACCTAACCTATGACATCATGCATTGTTGTATCATCTTTAGCCACTGCAGCACAAATCACCTCATTGACAATTTGTACTTGTCTATATATTTTCTTTACCAGAAGTGTTCGTAGGTCATCTACGCTCTAACGAGCAGACATTAAGAACAAAGCTCACACGCGATTGGTGGGGCTCACACACAAAGCTGGTCTTGATTTCCCCGGAAACCGTTCAATTCCTATGAAAAAATTACCTTACCAAGAATTACATGGTATCACTTCAAACGTAGCTTTCTAACCTTCGAGACATCACTCCCGGTACACTTCCGATAGCCTGTAAGAATTCACCGCAGCTTAATTCTGGCGAAATGTCATGAATCCCACATACTTAACAATATTTTACACTACCCAAGATTCTGACTCTCCAAAACCATGAGAGTGCCTCAACTAGTGGTTCTTTCACTTGGAAAATCAACATATTTTCAATTACTGGATTTTTATATGGCTGTCTTTAAGCTGTGGATGCCAAATTTCAGTAACCTATTTGTCCAAACAATGGCTTGAATTTGGAGGTACCTCATATATTTAAAGTTCATTGCGCAAAAGCGTACATACCCGAAAGTCCTTTATCGTTAACAAAGACAAGCTTAAACTTCGTGCTAATCGCGTTCGCTTTCACAAGCCCGAACCACGAACATCTTTGTGCGTGGTGAAGCATCAGCAGACATCCAACAAAGTCAACTAAACTGGAGAGTGGCACTACCTTGGAGGAAGTTCGTCCTAGCTTTCCGACGTTCCGTAAGGAACTAATAATCAATGAACTTCATTACATGGTGTCACGCTTTGCTTTTCGGGGGAGAATTTTGAAGAATTAGGTTGCTGTCCCACGGAATCCTTTTCAATTCAGTATATACCTGTGTGCAAACATGCAAAACAGAACGTCACGCGGGAGAATTAGGAATAACAGTAGATTGGTCAGTTCCACGGCAAGAAAACATGGGCTATATATACATATATTAAAGATAATCAATTGTCTCGCAACATATATACATAATTAGTCGTCGGAATATAAACATTCAGTCAAACTACATTCCAGTTTGCATAAAATACACTCGACTATTGTGATAAATTTATTGTACAGTATAGTCAAATTTGCCAATACTGTGAGTGTCTAATGTTGACGTAAAACATTTTAAAAACTTCATCGCTTTATTTATTAGCAAAGTGCGATTAGCACTCACACGTACGTTGGTTTACTTTGATATATGTTGACGGACTGCGATTTCGTCCTGCCAATTTTCAAAGTAAGTGGTTTGGAGGATATTTCGGGATTCTTTGGTCCTGATGTCAACTAATTGGTTAACTCAACTGGCTGGAACTTTCCGGAACCCTCTATTTTGAAGTGGTTACAGAGATTCGTCGATAGGTATTCATGATTATATGATCAGGGGGTTTTTATGTGCAACAGTGCCCAATTCATCCACTGTAAAAATCCGTTACTGTTCATGGCAAATTAAAGTTTAGACGTATAAAATATGTCTTCTATCACAAATACTCGAGACAATCAAGATTTCAATGATCTGTGTGCATTGAATTACTGTTCGTGGCTTCTAACTGAAAAGCACTCAGATAGAAGTAATGGAGATATAATATTCATCACACGTATAGTACTAATTCACTTTACCAATATCGGGAACGAGGTATTTAGGTGTGATCTGATTAATCATTCGCCAACATAAACTTAGTTCATTTATTATCCCACCAAGTGTTTTCTGAGGATCCTCACGAAGGTTTGATTATTTTACTTCCATGGTAAATGTGATATTTCAAAGTATGAGGTCAATCGTAGCCCAAAGTTTACTTTACGTGCTCTAATACTAACATCAATGTTTGAATTCCGTGCCAAGGCACTCGCTTGGTCAAGGTGACTCTAATTATGTCCATATATAGGTGCAACACTCATCTTTTATCGGTGAGATGGAAGAACCGTCACTCAGACCCACCTAAAAGGAATTTCAAACCAAATTAACCTAACCTGAAGAATCATTGCGAGAGGTTAGTAATAAACGGCGACCAGAAGATTAAAAAATTAACTGTATAAAAATCATCACTCATAAATAAATAGACTATGAAACTAAGTAAACCTTACAATCCGGACTCCGGTATCCTCAGGTAATTTTAAACTTGTCAATGACGTACTAAATCCCGATATATATATATACATTATGTATTAGTGATAACATTTCCGCATAACACAATCAATCTTTTGAAGTGAAGTGGAACAGTTGAACCAATAGAGCTGTTCAAAAAATTCAACGAGCTCACAAGAACATCATATAGTCCTTTCTGGAAAATAACAGAAAAATCTCTGAAAATGGAGGATCACAATAAAACTGAATAGACGATGATCGCACAAAAATTCCTTTGCCTATACTTTTCATTGTCAGGAGCTGACAGGGGACCGTAAAATGTCACAGAACAGCGATTTTTCCAAGGAGTTGCCAAAGAATAAAGCAACAAATAGCCTCACTGCCAAATCATCCTAATTTATGTGGCCTTCTAAGCCAAAACTTCTGTTAACCTAATAGAGCTGAACTCAAAAACACCCAATGTCATTATTCAGACGCAACTAAATGTGTTTCTTCAAAAATAGGTCAGAAACACCTTTCGAATTCTCGCAGGTAGACGTTTGACTCTTTATATTTTGTTTTATACCATTACTCAGACAGGAAAGATCCTCTGACAGGCACAATTGACATACCATTCGATCGCCCCCCAAACAGCCCAGTGTGTTCCGTTTTCTTCTTGGGTTGTACAATAAACAGACCATTTCGACTTCCCAGGTTCACTCGTGAGAAGGAAAAAAGTTTCCACTTACCTATCTCATTCAACGGGACATAATAAATACAGATCACGAAGGATAGTCGCAGTGATCTCTAAACTTCTGCTACATCTTCAAACCAACAAGAATCTTAAACTGGTACACAATATGTAGTAAATATTACTCATTACGGTAGTGCTAACATAACAAATCCTCGCACTCGGGGTCTTTCAAATCACCGAGCCTCAGTCTTCGTACTATTTACATGTATATGGCATTTAAAGAAGGTGTTTTATTTTTCACATTAAGCAGTATCCATGACGCACGGTGATTGTCCAGCTCACTTTGATACGGTCAAGTGAATAAACTAAATCTCGGCTCAGGATTAAACTCTCAAGTAGTGTGCAAACCCGCACAGATGCTCAGCTAGGCGAAGTTGTTTAACTCGCTACTGATCATTCCATTCCAGATATGGATGTAGCTAGAACAGCTTTCCTGTTTGTTGCCGACGACTGTAACAGTTTGCAACCCTCCACCATACGTGTAAGGATCACACGGCCGGCATGACTGATGTAGGCCGAACTGCTTAGACTAGTCGTACCAGGTTATACTAATCTATTCAGCTCCGCCAATAGACCGTAGGTGGCAGACAGATGGTAGTTTATTAGCCAGCGGTGATATCTGAATACAACGGGGCTACCTGACGATACAAGTTCTACATACAAATCACGATTTGTTTTAACATGTAGGAAAATTGATCTCATTTGCAGTTTCATGCAGGTGTTAAAAAACTTCATGCGTATAAAAAATACCGTTCACCAAACATGAGGTCGGCTTCGGAATCTGTCCTCCAAAAGGATTTTCTACATTTTCCCCAACAACATAGATCGGATGGATAAAATTTTATTTGCACGGACCGAAACCATGTAGGATAAGACCCATACGTATGATCATACGCACTTGTTCACATGTTACAAATCTTTAAACATTCTTCAGCCGCCCACATTATCCCGTCCGGTTATTTACTATATGAACCAAACAAAACTTGTCACATTTGCACCCATATATTTATTTCTCTCGAAAGTGAGCCTGTATCGTTTCTTCCTCGAGAACTTACTCGAATTCCCAGAACAACCTCAACCCAGCGTAAACGCGTTCAGTCTGTATCCGACTTTCTAATAGAACGGATCGTCCGGTTCAGTACTTGATCTCAACTCCCATCTTTCCATTCTATCAGTTACTCCCTCGGTAGAGTGGTCACGTTTATCCTTTGTGCTCATTCGTTATGCAGATTTGCGAATGGATTTGTCTTTTTATGGTCAGCGTAGATGTGAGGAGTTGATCAAGTAGCTATTAGCATTCCGCCCCCACAGTTCAAGAATAGAGTAAGGTCTACGTGAACGTGAGTAAAATCACCTGAAAGGAAAAATGTCATCTTCATTTAATTAATATTCAATACCAAGGAGTGCTTTTGCCGTCCAGAAAACCGAACGATCTGTAAAGAACGTCATCTCGACCTAAAGTATATAATGTCATTCATCTCTGCCTGGTCATCAGACGAAATCAGCTAAGGAGCAACAAACGTTTGTGATAAAGTGCAGTTCTTGCGGAAAATCTTATAATACTCCAATGACCTTTTCTCTATCTTCAACTTATTTTGTAAATGTAAGACAAGCTGTTTCTGACCGGCCTTATTTTTTCAACATAAAAGTGCTAAATGTTACTGCTAGCTGTTCTGCACTAATTCTGATATGTTCTTGATGAAAGAAGCCCAAGCAACAAATCATCCTAGACACGCGTATGCCAAAATCAATAGCAAGTATTTACACCTTACTATATTCTGCAGCGATGTATAAAAACGGCGGACATCAGTTGGCGCTGCAGACTTACGTCGTACCAGGGTTTATAGTAGAATCAAACGGCTTTCCGTTGGGGTAAATTATATTGTCCTTCGAAGCCGACGTACTGACTTTGCAAAGCAATTGGTTCAAAATCATATTAAGATTGACGTAGCTGAAGAAAGTGTCATCCAAGGATTTGCATTAACACTATTAAATCCACTGTTAGCTGACGTTTATTTTACGTGCCGACACAATCAGGATCAACAATGTTTCGCTGTTGGTAGCAGGCCTGCACCGGATGACGTGAACTGACGGTTGTAATCTGGTTGAAACAATGACGATTTGCAGTTCTTGGAGCAACCGGAAATGTATTAAGGATTCGTCAAAATGCCAGTGTCCGTTGCATCACCTGCACTTATGGTGCCAGTAAAAGTGAGATGTTTGTTTAATCCCGCTAAATGTACTTTCATTCGGTTTTGAAATAAAACGGGGCTAATTATAATCCACCTAAACCAGGTACAGTGGAAATGAACGAAAACAGAGTTCTCAGTGTAGATTTTGCCTTGTAAGACAAGCTAGTCTATGCTCAAAAGACGGGCAGAAATATAAACGTCTTCCATAATTATTTGGCGATATTTTCAGGAAAACTTATTGAAAATTGTGCTGTAGATTGTTCCCATAAATATTCATTCCGCTGGGGGACACGTTGTTTCGGCTAGTTTGGCAAGGAACTAACAATAATGTGAGGTAAATCTAAACAACCTGAGACGAGCTGAAGGAGTTGTGTTAAACGTGTTTCCAGGAAAACAGCACAAACCACCTTTGGAACTGAACTGCTTACGTATGAAGAAGAGACAACCTGGGATTTTTTAAAGCGTGCCGCGAGTCCAATGTTTGGATTCTGCCGTTCCACAGAGAGTCGTGCGTTAGTGTGTCCACCGAGTAATCTTATTCTCGGTTGACGATTCATTTTGTCGCTTGTATGATGGATTCTAGACAATAATCTTCTTGGAAAAAATTGAAGAGGCAGCCCGCAATTTTGTACCTATGCCACTGGTGGATCATTAAATTTGATTGGTTCTTCAGTCGGAGAAAAAACGGGCATTCCGCAGAAATAAAGTTTTAGGCCACTCATGCAAAGTACGTAAGACCGACCAGTAAATAAAGTGGGCCAGGCCGATTGTCCAGGCCTAAGTCATTGGGCAACTTGTTTTAGGCCATATGTAGTAAAATGTAATTTAGGGTCCTTGATATCAGACACAGGTTTTGTTGCTGTTTTTGTAATTAGAAAGCTGCATACAGCAGATGCACATGTAAATCGATCAGTCGACACACACGGTGAACTCCGTAAACAACTGACACTTACAGTCTTCCAGTGGGCGCTGAGTATGAAGCACAATATTTAGGCCCTTGGAATCATTTAATGGACACCATACGTAAAACAACCTAAGTTTGATGGAAATCGTAAGGTAGCATATGTAAAATGTTTGAAACCAACACCTATTTGGTACTGTATCCAGGCATTTCAGTGGTACTGTAAAGAAATTGGCATACCAGACTATATAAGTTACTATTATATCTCATGAGGTTCAATGAAACAGGTTAACCATATCGACCACCACGAAGCGAGGGAATGTTCCATGCTCCAATTTTTAATTTAGGCATATCTTTTCCTTTAAGGTCTTGAAACGGATACGCATTCAGACTATCGGCCCCGGTTGCATCGGACATGGGGTCCTCTTAACCTGGCTTTGAACTAACTTGGATGGACTATATTTTCTGTCAAGCCGGTCCGCCACACAGCTGAACAAAGCTTCTTGGACTGACAAATTATTAGGGGTGACTTGCCTGCCATTGGTGCTCATACATACTACAGACATGAAGTAGAGTAAACGTTAAGCTTGTCCGCGTGAATGTCGAGTGATGTTTTGGTTAAACCAGGAAAACCAAGAAAACTCTCATAAGATAACAATTCGTCAATCATTAGCCGTATGGGGTAAACTCGTGATAACTCGATTCCCCAAGCTCCATAATCATACTCAAAGTGTGTTATCCCGTATATCACGTAAGCTCTCCTAAGTCCTTTGAACCTAAATTCATGACTAATCACAAATACTGCTTAAAAATCACTTGTCCATGTGTGAAAATATCGCGCACCCTCCGTTTGTGCCACACAACGATAGTAACGTGGTATTAAGTAACACCCCTAAATATATTTCTGTCTTGACGGCTAGCCAAACATTTTTCATTTCGCTATCACACCGGTTATAAACTAACTCATCGAAAGTTCCAAAGCTGCACTGGGGCAATAGTCAGCCTATTGGTTAGTATCTTTTTGGAATATTTGGCCTTTGGGTCAACTTACCAACCGTAAAATATAATAGAAAATTCAAGCTGTATGTGCCATTTCAGCGGTTTGTTACCACTAATCAGTGGGTTATTAAAAATGCTGAAATCTTTTAAACTAATATGCATTTGACCAGCTGGGGGTACAATTTCAGCCTTATTCACCTGGTGGAAAGTTACTTGAGACTTGGTTAAATAACCCCAGATAACCATGGTCACGCTCGGCTTCTCTGGTGATCCATTATCTTCCAGCTCCCTACGGCAAAACATGATGCGAATATAAATTAATCCTTCAGCCTCTCAGTACTGCTCCATCTTGCCTTCTGTAAAAGTTGATATCTAAATGCTTGTGACACACGCAGCGGCTTCACTCGGATACTAAGGAAATAGCTGCAACGCAAACCTCAAGTCACCATATTTTGACTTCGCTTAGGCGGAAATTGAACTGAATTCCACATGCGCCAGTTTCACTAAGGTTGCTCGTGGACATACCGATAGGAAATACCAATTCAAGAACAAACTTGCAGTAGGTGCAGAGAAATGCGGACTTGGATTAGAGGCAATCAAAACGAGCACGATCGAGATTACAACACCTAAAGAGTACTTTCTTTCGAGCCACTGCGACAAACACAGATTATTTGTGAGTTTACTTTCGGTTTCCAGGTGAAAATGCATTGGCGGATATTTTCGTGCGTGTAATCGGTGAATGACATGTATTGCATTAGTGCGCAGAGTCAACCAGTATCCCAGATACATTCTCATTGTTCAATATGGAAACAATCGCGCGAAATTAACTGTTATCTAATTGTTGTTATTTACTTCATTCAAACAACAATGCATCATTCCGTGTTCCCAAATTCGATGTGTGATTGCGTTTATTTTATTTCTCAAGATTACCACGGGTCACTAGATAATATTCTCTTCGTGGAACGAGCGAGCAACTTCATGTGTTCCCTTACGGCGGACGGCTGCATTACAAACAGGCGTTACTTTATTAATGAGTTCCCCGGAATAAATGCAACTTACACAAAACCAACTTAGACGTTTTCCTCAATTTCTTCACAATCCCCCAGTTGGGAAGTTTCTATCCAAGGAAGTACCTGATGGATCAGGGAGGCGAAGCATATTTGCCACTAATACAAACTACACTTTGTCACTAATAACCAAAATATGGACATCTTTTGTCCATAGTTGACACAGGTGTCATGTTTTTTCATAAGGGAAACTACTCACAAGGTTGCTTAAAACTCTTTGATAGCCCACGACCAGTTTAGCCTTCCTCGGGGCTCACCAGGCACACGCATTCTCGATTTACCGTCAGCCTCTTTGTTCCTCAAGCCCGGAAACGATAGTAAAAGTGAATGGCATCTGGCTTCGAGACTTTCAGATTCAGCAAGTTTCATAAACGCCTCGCTATCTAATTCAAGTTGCTACAGTCCACCACCAGATGTAGCACAATAAACGGTCCACATTCCAAATTCATTTATTTTTGAGGCCTACTGAACCGTGCACGGGATATCAAATAACGCTGTGACCCACTGAACTATGTGAATTATTAAAAGGTGGAGAGAAAATCAATCATCCAGATTATCGCAGTATAGTCCGTAAGTTTCCGTCGGTTGAGATTTTAGGCTGCAAATCGACTAATCTTTATCTCATCCCTTTTTTTATTACCTTGCAGAGACAACATGTATGTAGCAAAATAGCTGACGACAAACATTTGGAAAACGTAAAGTTTCCCACGTACAAAGCTTGATACGAAGACAATAGAGTTAACTTACAACTGGGGCAACTAACGTTTTTTCACAAAATTAAGGGATAAAGTGGCCTCCAAACACACATATTCACCCGGTTATTATTTTATCACCTGGTAGCTGTGGTAGACAAAAACAAATCCTTTATATCAGTGTAGCATGTTCTTAACCAGAAAGCTTGAAGAAATGAGCCAACTAACGGAGAACAAGTACTTCTGGTCCTGTAGGTCTCATTTTGGTTTGACTGGAGTGGCAGCCAGCGATCTCAATATGCGAGGCGAGCGAGTTGCCACTACTCCACCAGCTCACTTTTGGCGCATCCGAATTTTCACGCCTGAACAGGCGAACGTGTTCACGCTTGAGCGATGTGATTGGTGTGTCCGACTCATCGAATGACGACCCAGTAACTATCCTGGTTGTGACGATCGATTGCCAGTTAACCCACCGGAAATCTTTTTGGTTTCAGTTGTGAGGTTTTGCAGGATAGGTATTTTGTTCAATTTTCACACCACTGTCGTTTAAACGGTCGTCCTCCTGTTCTGGTGAGTCCACACCGAAGGGAAGCACTGAACTGAAGTTTCGCTCTTAATAGAGCTCATCAGCAGTGCATATTCAAAAGTCCTGCCATGTTCGAATATCGGACGCTACCTGTGACGCTACCTGACTGCCAGGTCAGTCGATCGTCGCAACTAGAAGAGTTACTGGGTCGTCATTCGATGAGTCGGGCACACCAGCCTTATCGCTCAAGCGTGGACACGTTCGCCTGTTCGAATGCGTCCATCCTGTGTTGGCGGATTAGTGGTAATGCGCTCGCCTCGCACGTCAGATGTCTGGAGTTCAAATCCCAGCATGGGCTTCGGATGTGTGAGCTCTATTAAGAGCGAAACTCCAGTACAGTGATTCTCTTTGGTGTGAACTCACCGGGATAATCACGATAATTAGACCAGAACAGAAGGACGACCGTTCAAAAGAGTAGTGTGCGAAACTCCGTTCAGTGATTCTCTTTGGTGTGAACTCACCGGGATAATCACGATAATTAGACCAGAACAGAAGGACGACCGTTCAAAAGAGTAGTGTGAAAATGAACAAAATACCCGACGCGCGAGAAAACACAACAGAAATCTCAATATGATCGCGTTTGACGCTGTAGTCTTTCCATTGTTTATTGAATCCCAGACAAAATACCCAATACCAATGGATCGACATGAGGTGTACCTCCGGTTTAAAGGGTAACGCAGCTTACATAAATAAATTGCTCGGCTTATGCACGATAATGATATGAACATAACTTCAGTCCATTTTTCGTCTAATTTCTGGGAAGTGACCCTAAAGCATCGTTGTCAAAATCCACTGACGCTTATCTACGAGCGTTAGGGTGCACAATCCCGAGCGCCACTTGGATGCAGAATTGTTAATACATTTTGCCGTTGGCGCAGATAATTCATTAACCGTAGCGTTTTTTATGTCTGGTTCATTCAACAGTCATTGGGTGTTTTGTTTGCGCTCATCAGGCCGCAATGAAATGGTGCTCAGAGCGAACATCCGAAACCCAACATCAGGTAGATGTTTGCCTTATTTGACGTTCCAAACAGTTTTTCGTGATCTAACGAGCGATCCCCGAGGAGCAGATAAACGGACTATCGATCCTGAAACCAAACGAGTTTACATCAACAGACGTGTAGCACATGAGTTACTGTATCCTTGGCATTACTTTTTCCAAAGTGTTTTATGGCACACAACTGAAATTCATTATATATGCTGCACATAGCCTAATTTCCTTGGGTTACAGAAAAGCGAGAAAAAATGCACCCTTTGTCTGCCAATCCCTTACAGAACATCCAAAATCCTAGATCTATCACCTCTGAGTTTCCTCTAAATTCTAGAACACCGGAAACCCCGCACAGAGCGCTTGTTCACACGCTTTCATGTTATTATCAGAGATACCCTGATTGCAGCTACTCATAATACAGCAGTGAAGAAACGTCTCAAAGTACGTGAAGATGTGGGAGGTTTGGTATAGATTTAATCCAGTAAATCACGCCAGCCCTTGCTGAGAAGCACTACAGAGTTGTTTCACCATTATTGAGGATCATTAGCAGTGCACATCGCCCTTTATTTTGGGGGGGGGGGTGCTCATCATGTAGGCGCAGTCCCCGGGTTTCCGTCAACGTTATGTTCTACTTGAAACCAAATTGCACGAAATTAGCGAATATACACTCATTTGCAAACTGATTTGATTTTTCGAGAGACTCACCTGTGACCCAGCTTAATCTCTCGTTGTGATGTTCTCAGGCAAGTTTCTAGGCCAGTTTCAGGCAAACATTCTAGATTTTTTTATGGTGAAGATTGGGAGCTGCCCATCGTCAATCAACTCCATCAGCCTGCACTTATAAACTGTTCATAAGTATTTCATATTTGCACTTTGAAAATCACCAAGAGAAGCTTAGTATTCAGCCCTCTGGTTTGAACACATAGGGGTCTGAAAATTAGGATACTTTCATTAAATGTGCATGGAAAGAAACACGCATCTACTAAACTGGGTGATTTGACTTCCAGTGGCGTTCCTGGGCTGTCCCAAGTATTCGGTCATGGAAACAAACCACTCCTGTTTTCCTCGATTAACCAACACCACAGCCGAAGCCATAATTCGCACAACCAACACACCCGTGGTAGCCCTCGGCAAGGTACATCATAGATCCTTTCGACTCCCTCACCCAGCAGGGGGGCATTCATGCTGGAATGTGAATGCAGTATTCAAGAGGTCTTTGACCAGATGCACAAGTTCAGCACAGCTCCATGTGGAGTGTGGGGTTACTCTGTCAATACAGCGGACCATGGCCGATGAAGCTATACATCTGCACATTTTGCATCTTCCATCATGGGATCCGGGAACATATTCTGCCAAACTTCAAAATGTGCGACAGATTTGGCAAGTAATTACGTGCGTATATGGTTTGCCTGGAATAATTCACATACAGCTGGTTTTTATCATCCAGCGCAGTGAATGTAAGGGGGAAATTTGTTATTTCAGGGCCATTAAAGAACTTTGTGGTGTGCCAAAATGCTCAATACTTGACATCTGCCTTTCTGTAATTTTATCAAAACTTTAACCAAATCCTACAATCCGATAATTGGGCTTGCCACATCTGACACTACAAACGTAGAATGACAGTGTTTACATACAAAAACATCAAGGCGACTATCCTCACTCCAGAAGATATAGGTGTTTCATACTATCCACTTCCACCCAAGTACGTACATAGGGATGTTGATTGAGCTAGGAGGACAAACTAGATTGGTGGTAAGATAGAACTCAAATGGCCGTTCCCAACATAATAGCATTTGAACAGACTCTAGCTGATCAACCAGCTGAATCGCACTACAGGCTACAATCATTCCCCGAGATTTTCTAGAATAATTTCAGCTTATATCAGCCCATGCTGTGTGTAGCCTGTTCGATCCAATAAAGTATGACATGTACGCGCTCAGTTACTGTACGAACGATGAACGACAACGGCAATATTTCACGCATGCTGTGTAGAAGCCTAAATGGCAAATGACCCCGCTGACAAACCGTAAGCAGTAAGAATATATTGTGAATGTGACCTGCCTCCTGAGTCGATCGGACTGATGCATAAATGTTGTGTGATCTGCGTGGAATCATCTAAATTCTCAATTCGAATTGTATATGCCCAGCACTTTAGCTTGAAACAGCGTGATGTTTTCCAACGCCCTTTCATGGCAAAAAGAGAGGTGATTTAATTTCACTTGAACGTCTTATAAGCCCGTGTTGGTTGAAAGTTCTTATATTTGACGAACCCATATATGCTGCAATCTTGTACCCATCCAAACTCCTCTGTTGGAGTAGGAAAACTACTGAGGACAACAGGACTTCAACAGTTACCAAAATACGACGGATAAATACGACGGAGTAAAAGTGGTTTGGTTGCTACCAGGGACTGGTTAGGGTTTTAACGTATGAAGTACTATCATCACCATGCATTTTCCTTCAAATTTCAGCTATCTTCAGAGCGGCTTGTTGAGTTTGGAACCCATAGTACTGCGAAGTGCAATATCTGTATTTATTTTTCCTTCTCGAGAAAATAAATATTCATAGGTCTTGTAAGTGAGGCCAATACAGGGAGGTAAATTATGAAGCAACCTTAACTGAAATTGTCCACAATTTGCGAGTTATTTACACTGACGATTAACCACTCGTGGCTGAACGACTTAGCCTGCAGTTACTAAACGCAACAGTTTGCAAACCCGTAAAATGTGCACTGGTGATGATTTCCTGGGAGGATATAGCATCTACGCAGTGCTGTTTTCCTGCATTCACGGGTGCCATGTGTGCCATATGGCAAACGTTAGGAAATAACTAAGATTTAAATCTAGAAATGCATCCCTATCCTGACTGATCACTTGGCCAACCCTAATACCGCTATGTAGTACACTAACACGTAACGATGCGGCAAGCTGATGTTCTAAGCATGTTTGTAGAAAACTTCGAATAGTACAAGGCTGAAAACAGACAACTAGTCCTCTGGCTCCGTCATCAGTCTACTGTGTGGATAAGCTTACCTGACATTAGTTTCTCATAATCTCGTTAGCTTTTTATTTGTTGGAATACCTCATTACTTGCGTTTATATATATATATNGTTTCCCTTCGTGTGTACCGTGAGTCCGTATGAGAGCTGTCGCCCACGAGTAACCATAGAGTACAGAAGCCTACAAAACACGCGCACCTGCGCACAGACTAGACCACAGTGGAAATAACAGACCGAAGATCGAATTTCCAGACCGCTACTGCTTGCTCAGCCCACTACATCAGTTCGACAGCTGATTGGCCTTCGAGCAGATAAACAGAGATGGCCAGCCACATTCAATCCACCAATCAATGATGTGCATGGTTACAGCATGGCGCATGCATGCTACATAAAATTTAGAGGCGTGTTCAGCTGTTCAGCAAAACATTGTGTGCATGAAAGGTGGCCTGGCATACTAACGCCAAAATATTTCCCGGTGAATATCGATCAGATATTTTTCTGTCATTTGTGAACATTCACCTCAATAACGTCCCCGAAAACGTTGAATCCTCAGTGCCTGTTCACTCAGCAAGATTTACAAGGAGCTTTTCAGTAACGGACGTACTTCACTTATGCTCTGTCATTTGTTCAGTTCTGCCAATCTATGTTTTATTTTTCGGCTTGCTTGTACCATCGCACCAATCACTGAAAACACTGACAAAGCCAAGGAAATAATTCAAAACCTTGCCCCATAAAAAGTAGAGTACTTATCCACCAAGACAGTCATACCCGCAGTCATGTTGCGTTGTGTCAAGAGGAAACCAAGTAAGGGATCAGAAAAAAGCAGATTGGATGCCGAAGGATCGCCATCGTCGCTCAGAAGACGAATGCTTTCAGGAAGTACTGAGGAACTGTCAACTGCCTCGAATTCTTTGAACCGCCCATCACGTTGGTCGATCGCCAAAAAGTCAGCCACCTTGTCTGGACATTCCACAACACATACGCTTAATGAATCCCGTTCAAGCAGCAAAACCAAGAGCTCTAGTGTTTTTAATCCTACCCGCTGGCGCACACTTTCAGTAAGTTCGTTATTTTCCCCACACAAACGAAAGAAACATGATGAATCGGCCACTGCAACCTCTTCGGGTTTCGTCTCACCCTCAGGTGAGACAGATATTCTCCAGGAAAGGTCTGGGTCGGCCATTTCAGCAAATAAAAGACCAGAAACGATTGCTATCGCTCAATCGCATGCTACAGCCTACGACACAGAAGCCTCTACACCGACAGGAATGATCAGCGATAATGAGAGACCTACTTCACTGAGTTTGCAAGAAGATCATCTAAACAAACTGACAACAGCTGCCATGGATGACAGAGATGCATCAGACAACACACCAACCGAGCCTTTGAGTGGTTCGAAGCCTTTTCCAGTCGTCAAAGCAGAAGACCATCCTGACCAAGCATATGAGAAACGAGGCTTACTCAAACTTGTTTCCAGTAAATTTGGTTCATCCTCGAACAAAGCTACAGAACCGGAAAACCAACATGAAGATACCAGCGCTGATAATGTAAGTATCATCTGTAAAGCTGATTAGCTCCATGTGCAAACAGTTAATATTCCATCTCATTTGACATTATCAAATTGCGTTGATTGGGGCATTAATCAGTCTGCTAAACCATAAGTGCTTCCGAAGTTAGGCTGTAAATCGGACCAAAACTTCTGCTCATATGGCATCAGGATATTGCTTTAGGAATTCACATCTGCTTTTTGTTGGTTGTCTTTTTGTCTGTTTTAAGAATACCCACTGACTGAGAATATCTCCGGCCACTGAAAAAGACGCTATTATTTATAGGTGATCTGGCAAGATGAAGCAGATTATGGCAGTCTCATTTAATAGCCAGACTACGAACACATAAAAATTCACTGTGTACAAACTTATTTGCTCTTCTTCATTGTAATGATGTACTTTTATAACTTTAAGGCGTAGGTTATTCTTCTACTTAGTTTCTTGCACTCTAAACAGGGAACTGGTAGTTACGGTGTTATCTCGCTTTACCAGTCAAAAGTAGATGCCGGAACAATTGGTTCGGATAATAACAGGAAGAATGTCTTTTTAAGGTTATGCATACAGGTTCATTATCAACGAGTCTACTTTCATCATATCCTTAGTTTACATAGAACCAAACGGAACCCGGAATTTCAGCGCTGGCAATTCTTTAAAGCCGGCTCCGTTCATATGACTACTGAGGGCACGTTACAGAACATCTGGTCTGTATTATTTGTTTATACTGACTTGACTAGGTGAATGAATATACGGATGTAACCCTTTTTCCGTCTCAAGGGATGCGAATGGCTAAAATGAAAATCAAGAATTATCTTCGCCAACAGCACAGCAGACAGTCACGCAGTGCTCGAGTCCAATGACAGTTATCTCTCAGTTGGTACTTCTCACGAGAAGACTTCATTCTACCTGCAGCCCCTGAAGGATGTTAATGAAAGTCACCTCGAACCTACTGTAACGCGTATCCTCTCAGCCCTATTCTGGATTCATAATGGTGAATTACACTTCACCTTTATCTTACGGTGTGCGGTTATCACATGTATGCCAGGCCAGGTCAACCTTCGGTGCCGCATTCCTCTCTCGCAGCAACCAAATGAAGCCAAAGACGGCTTCATTTAAATTTCATCCAAATCCTTCAACATTTAATTAACAAACAGAATAGCAAGCAGATAATCACCAGGTAACTAATCCTAAGGTTTTTTAGTAATGTATACAAGCATCTCCTGGAGTCTCACGTTATATGAGGTGCTTAGGGAAGATCTGGAGAGGGGTAGAGTAAACAAGCAATTTACAATTTTCTGAACACTTCAACGATACTCTTTGTGAGTACGAAATATTCTTCTCCCTTACAAGTCACATCCCTGCAGGGCACTCGTGTAGACACTGGAGTGTCAGTTGTAGCTTGCGGAACTACCACAAACTACTGCTTACCCAGCAGTCGTCTGATATCACCTTTCACACCTAGAAACAAGCAATAATTCAGGCTCCTTACAAGTTACTTCACTTGCGTTGCCACATCCCCTAGTATGCATACTGTATTGAAGTACTGAACACCAGTCGTCAACGTCGATCGATGAAAAGCAGTAGGAATATCCGAAAAAAATGATGTTCAACTATAAAACCAAGATAATCAGCTTAATAAAGTCCCTGTCAATAGATTTTCTTCGTATTTTGGTTAACCTGGCCTGCATGTTCCTCTCATTTCACTGGCTCACTTTTGTGACCCGTGAGATAGAGCCTTTTAAATACTGATCATTGCATAACAACACACTTTTGAATCAACTGAGTAAATCTTTCCTCCTGGCTGAAGAAGTTACCCGCAGAAAAAGCCATCTCTCACCTTTCTTCTTTCACTTGAAGTGAAATCAATGGGTAGAATTTCATCCGTAACCATGTACACATACAACACATCTTCCAAGACTGTTGTCATTAGCACTAAGTGAGAACAATCTCTGAAATGTCTTCACAAAACGTGTAGCAAATGGTCATTCTTGGAAGCCTCGCGCTTATCAACTTTCTTGCTAAAGCAATTTGCCTTTAGCGCTTTATTTCATTTTATCCCTTGTATGTGATTTATGTAAACCTTGAAGAGTGACTTTTGAGCAACGTTGGATGAGCAATGATCTACTCGCATAGGAGCACATCCAATGACATTCTACTAAAATAATCACACCTGAATAAGCTGATGGAAACTGTAGAATGCGTCTTAGATGACCTCTGTTCATTATTACGGCCCAGAAGTAATGATTTTGTCAGAGGGAGCTCAACAAAATTCCTCTGTTCAATACGGAAACTGAGTTTCAGGGAAGCCATACGGAATATAATTTGTCGTAGGCAGGCAACAGCACATCACTCTTTCACAATTGTTCTCCTCATGAAATCACGCTAACCGATGGGAATAATCTTTTTGCTGTAATTACAAACGGTTTTGCTGCACTCAAATTCGTTATTTCAATTACCTGGATATTTGGTGCAAATATATTCACCGAGAAGCAACAGCGTCATTCCTCGGGAGCACATGACTACCCTGTAAATGCGAAAACCAGAAGTGAACACTGTAGGCCTAAAACGGATTTGCTCAGGGTAAACAAACGTTTTCAATTATAGGCATTTATCCCGATGGGTAGTAGATACCCTGCTTGATGGACAGTTTTGACCGTCTGATGTAACATAACAGGTACTTTCTTTTTGTGGGTTTCATGCCGTCTCATTACCTCTCGCATTATTGTACAACCCATTGGCTTCATACCATAATGTTGACAATCAACATTATTGTTAGATCGTTTTGGTCTCTATTGACCAGCTCACGTGATCTCGACCAGCGACGTTTTCGGATAAATCAAGTAACATGTTGGAATCACAGCGATGTGGGAAGAAAGATCAATAAGCTTGGAAAAAACAGAGCTGAATTGATTACACTGCACTGGTTACATTCTCAGCCAAATTAGAAATTCATATGTACCGTGACCGTATATGACTTTACAATGCTCCGCTGAGACTTACTGGGTAGCACTGCACGCTACGGAAAATCCACGTACACTGTCATCTAGAATACGTTGGTATGAACGAGTGTTGCATTTTGAATCGCTGTTGTCTTGCATTATTACGCTCCAGCATAGTAATTCGACACTTCAAAAGGCACTTACAAACTGATGTTAAAATAAGCATTCTTGTGACTTGGTACATCAGCTTCGTTAACTTCCATTTACATATTAAAAGAGAATTAGCAGCCATAGTGGAATCAGAGGGGAACTACCAGAACAAAATGCGAGCATTCCATCTGGAAGTATGTATAACTATCATCTCATAATCTACAAACTGTTTGGTTTAGAGTTCCCATTTGTTTGTGACTAAAATTACAGCCACCAACATTGTTAAATGCAGTAGCTTTTGATTGATGGTGAAATTATTGGAAGCCAAAAATAAACCTCTTACCAGCCTCACCCTGAATGTGCCATTAAAGATCATTGCATTTGGGCTCCTCTTGATATAAAGTTTACATGAAAGATAGCAACGCTGAAGAATATCTCCTTACATGAATGTGACGGATGTGAGCATTGGGTTTCACCAGCACTTGTTAGCATAAAGACCGAGAAACCCGAGGAAGTTTATCTCCCAAAAACGTTTTTCACACTTGAATGGCTTTGTTCTTATGTGTTTACACTACTCAACGAGAAACTTCATAAATTCCTAGTTTTCTTAGCGTTAGTTACGGTTTGATTAGCTCAACTACTAGCCCCAAGATGCTTGGTTGAAGTAGCGAGTAGGTGAATTCATGTATCCTTACCAAAATACCACAACGGTTAGCAAGTTGGATACCTGAATCAAGTGCAGAAACAATTTGAATTTTACGAAATGATATCCCATCATTAAAAAGTTACTGAATCACTTGATTACTCCGACCAAATTCAAAGAAACAACTTGCTTCCATGTGACGATAAAACAGTATTTCATTGGCAACGACGTGAAGAGCACATTTTAAGGAGGCATACTCTGGTTAATCATGGGGAGTTTATCAGACTTTTTAACGACCTCCTTTCGTTATTACAGGGTTAAAATTAAAAGATTTAAGATTTTCTTCCGATTAGCCTGCAAGGTTGGATGTATTTAAGACTTCTTGGACAAGGGAGAACCATGCTTTTAGATACCTTAAAAATGACAAAATCTAGCCAAGTATAGCGACCGTTTCTAAGTTTTTTTTATCTTACAGTAGTTTCCTTATTTTAGTTTTGAACATAAGTCGCTTCTATTCGTTTTGTTGCTATACCACAAGTACAAATGTATGTAGCCTGTAACATTTGGTAAGTCAAGTATGAGGAACTCCATAGATAATCCCGTACATGTTCAAATTTTTCCAAGCGAGGTACTTTAATGACTGTTTGGAGTGGTCAGCTTTGTAGACTGTAACTAATTTTATGATTCTTCTATCAAGCCACCTCTTTCAAAATAGATCAGTAATGTGGACAGCACGGTGTACACAGACTCTTGTTTAAACATGTTAGTGTTCGCTAATCCAACTTGACGGGCGGAAGCATGCGCTGCTTAGTAAGCTGTTGCTGCATGCAGTAGCTTGCACTCAATTATAATTTGTGTTGAGGCAATATCTAGACAGCATCATGTTGCGTTTAAATTATAAGTTATTGCAGGTTTCTCAGACAATCGCGTATGAAAACATGCCATGCCAGGACATGTACTCAATGCTTTATTTACCGGCCCGAGAAGTTGGTCAGTCGGTCAGTTTATCACCAATAAACATGTGTGCTAAGCGTAACTGAATTCTGGCAGCAGTGATACGCCGAGGCTGTTATATGTGACATTTATGTTATGGGTAATCGGATGTTTGCAATGCATTTGCTCTCCCAAATTCAGATACCTACTCAAAGTAAATAATGTTCTAAGGATACCCAGTGATGCTAATATTCTGTTGGTGAGAACCCGATGACTGATTACCTCAGAGTATGACGATGGACCTGATGAAATACGAGCATTGACGTACACGTTTTGTC